AAAGGTTTATTTGAATTTAATGTTATGCCATTCGGTTTAACTAATGCCCCAGCAACATTCCAACGATTAATGGACATAGTGTTAGCCGGTCTCAAGTGGCAATGCTGTCTCGTTTACATTGACGATGTGGTAATTTTCTCACCTACATTTGAACAACATGTGAAAGATTTAGAAAAAGTATTCCAAGCTCTTCAATCAGCAAATCTGACTTTGAAAACATCAAAATGTCAATTCTGCCGTCGAGAAATGCGTTACTTGGGACACATTATCACTCAGAATGGCATTAAACCAGATCCAGATTTAATTAAATCAGTGACAAACTTTCCTCAACCGAAAAAGATCAAAGATGTTCAATCATTCCTTGGTTTAACCGGTTATTATCGTCGATTCATCAGAGATTACTCAAAAATAGCCGAACCATTATTACAACAGCTGCGAAACTGTCAAAAAGGCAATCATCATTTAAAATGGTCAAAAGAATGCACCGACGCCTTTGAAACATTAAAACAAAGATTAACAAACGCACCAATTATGAACACACCAAATTTCGAACAGCCGTTCATATTGGAGCTCGACGCTTGTGAATATGGCCTAGGGGGCATATTAACACAAGAATATGATGGGGAAAAATATGTAATAGCTTATGCAAGTCGAACATTATCAACTGCCGAAAGAAAATATGGAGCGACAGAGCGTGAAGCATTAGCCATTGTATGGGCAACAAAATATTTTCGTCCATACCTCGAAGGTAATAAAATTTATATTAGATCAGATTGTAAAGCATTAGAATGGATGCGTACGGCAAAAGATGTAACAGGTCGATTAGCCCGGTGGGCGATGAAATTATCTGCTTATCAAATTGAAGAAATCAAATATCGTCCGGGAAGATTAAATGCTAACGCCGATTCGTTATCACGCAATCCATTATCAAATAATGATATTAATCAACTCGAGGTGTCAACAATCGAAACAGCTGTTAACTTATGGCAGAATACAAACATTCTTGATGATATAAGAAAAGAACAAGAAGCTGACTCCAAATTAAAACCAATAATCGAATTATTAAAAACAAAACCATCAACAGATTTTAATGGTAAACGTAGTCCCTACATTCTTATAAATGGACTACTATACAAAATTAAAAACGCCAATAAACATTACAATCAACGTATCGTGGGTGCAAAACATCTGCTAGTTATTCCAAGAGCAATGCAAAATAAACTATTGGAGTGGGCACACGATCATCCAACAGCTGGACATGGAGGCCAACAAAAAACATTATTTAGATTGTCAACAAGAGTACATTGGATATCAATGAGAAAAGATGTATTTAATTACATAGCCGCATGTCAAGAATGCCAACAATTTAAATACAATAACGCTCCAACAGCAAGTCCAATGCAAAT